GCCATTAGCAGATGCCCTGATTCCTACTTAGGAACGGGGCGCCTGAGTGTCCATGACACTAAGAGAAGAATAAAGTCAGAACAATTTAATAAAATGCTTAAAATTTGCATTTATGTTTAAGCTTGTACAGTCATCCCAGTACTGTGGGAACATACTTTCCCTTTTCTCTTTCAGCCTACAGAAGGAGCCACAAACCTCTTCCAACAAGTTTCCTGCCCTTCTGGGTTATCCCTGTCCCTTTTATAACCTGGCCTTAAGTGATTTGGAACATTTTTATTAGGCAAAATGATTTTAACCCTGCTGCTTATGTGGTGGTGGTTTTTTTTATTGAGTCTCTCATGATTTTACTCCTGTTACATAAGATCAACAGGATGTCTTGGATTATAACTTTTATTTCACAGCCAGAAATGATGTCTTTAGTTTTATAATTTTACAGAAGAAATTTACAATTTACAAAATGTGCCTGATCTAAGTGAGCAAAAAGCTTTTGGGGCTCTTGAGTTACCTTCTAATCTTCTAATGGTTGGTAAATTGATACCTTTAGTGCCTGAGGTATTGATTGATACATTTTGAAAATCTTCCTTTGGAAGCAGTTGTTCAATTATCTAAATAAGTTTGTTATTGATGCCTCATTACAGTTTAAATTTTATGCTGACAAGCATAATAAACATGAAATGTATTGACTGGTTCATAGGTGAGGGAACATTCAACATTATTTGAGGTTTTATTTTTAATTTAGAAAGTACATTGAATGGTAAAGATTATCATGTTTATTTAAGACGTAAGTATCAAATATTGACCTGAAATAACCATAACATTTAGTGCACCTATTTTTCTGTGATTATGGTAGCACTTGTAATGATGACTATGGAAAAGAGCTTCTGAGTGTTTGAGTATATTTTATAGAGCTTTTATCTTAAAACTCTAGGGATTGGGTACAAAGACTAAAGTGACACTACTGGTGTCTTAATACACTTGAAGAGACATTAGCAAGGGTAACAATTAACCTCATTTATATTTTCCTTATACTGCCCTTCTGATATCAGGGAAAGTATATCTTATCTTCAAAATGAGAACTGCAACACGGATTTAAGAGTCCATTTTTCCTGCTGGGTCAAACCCAGACACAAGAAACTTTAGGTATGCTTATTGCTCCATCCTATGGAGACCTTTGTACCTCAATTCTCTAACCATTCTGTTGACAGGTAAAGCAAGAAACTCATAGTTTACCCTCACCAAACAGAAGGCACACAATAGGTTTAATTTTAAGGAAGTCAACTTCAGTATTCTTTCAAATTAATTTTATAAATTTGGAATTAATTTTTCTATAAGATAATAGTGTTGCACCCTTTTGAAGTAGGTTATCAACAAGACTTTTCACTTTGAATTACATTTTTTTTAGTTTCTGGCTATACCAATTTGCATGTCAGTGTGCTAGAATTGGGACTGCACTGAAAATTAATGCAAACCAAAGAAATCGGTGTAGTTTAATCTAGTAAGCATTTTAATGATTCTTTGCACATTGTGTATAATACTTTTTCTTTATCTTTTCAGACTTGATGGCTTTTCTTTTGAGTAAGTATAAACCTTTCAGTAATTAGTTTTAATTCAGACTCAGAGAAGTACAATTTTTATATCGGGTTTTCTCTTGTAGTTTTTGGGTACAAGCTAGGTTTAGAAAGACTTACAAATTCACATACACTGTTTGCACCAGTTAAAGAATGTCTGCTTGTTTAGTTTAAATTTGTTCATCCTCTCTGTTTAGACAGGCTGTTTGGGTTTGCCTAAATATGAAAATTGTACTGGTTTAATCCCTTCCGCAATGCGATCGCACTTATTTCCAAGTAAAGATATTTATACCGGTATAAAGAGAAGGGGAATACACTATACCTGCATCAATTCCTTTATTTAATGTAAGTGTACACAGTAGGGTTGTTTAAAAATTTGGTTTGGTTTTAAAATATCTCACCCAAACAGTAAGTTAAGTTAGTATAAAAGTTGTATGTAAACCAAATTATTGGGTGTTTTTTTTTCTGTGCCCCCCCCTCCCCATTTTAATCTAAAAATACATTCGTGCTAATTCTGTTGAGAGCTCTTTTAGTGGACAGTAGCGGAGGGAATCCAGGGATGATATGTTTGTGTTCCCTTTTGATTCCTCCTCTACTTAGTTTGCCAGCGAAGCCCTATCTGGCCTGACTTGACCTGGCATTGGCCCCTTCAGGCCAGTGATGGGAACTATCCTCCCCACATTGCCCCCAACCTTTCAAAGAATATTGGCTGCAGACCCGCCAACCAGTGTGGATACTTGACAAGTATCTTTGGACATCTAGTCACATGGCACACAAGTCCACACCCTTGTTGTCAAAATCCTATATCTGCTGTTGGTGGATAGTGACATTTCTGAAAGCAAGGGTTTCCTGCTTCAACTTAGAAAATATTTCAGAATGTTTGATTATATATTTCACCTTTCAGAATATTTGATTATCCGCAAATCAATACAAGCTTAGCAGAGAACCTTTTATCATAGGTATCCCTTTATCTGAGTAGGAAGAGGATGAATGGAAGCAGGTATAATACAGAGAGAGGATCAAGATTTCCTTGTCAGAAAGGAGGTAGCAGTTTCTGTCTGTGAATATATGTATGTACGTTGTCAGTCTGCAACTTGCATAGATACTGAATTTTGTTAGAAGTCTTGTTAGGTTGTGCAACACAAATGAAAACTCTTCAGTTTTGTGATTTCAGTATATTTAATTGGGTAGAAATAGGCCTTATTTATGGTAACTGAGTACTAAAACAGGTTAAGAAATAAGCTGAAGCTACATCTAGGAAACTTGAAACATGGGAAGTCTTTTTAGATCAAAGTATCATAGTAGCAGGCAGTTCAGACATAATCCCTACAGATTAAACCAGTTACTACAGCTAGAATGATGTGAACTTCCTTGTGCGTATGTTGTTTTTAAAAAAAAAACATTAAAGGTGTTTGTTACACTGCTTCCTATTTTCTCTTTGTAATTATTATCACCCAGTCTCATATTTTCTTGGGGTATTTAATTAAATTTCCTTTTATTATCAACTGGACATTAAAAAGCAGACAGTTTTAAGGGCTACATTGTCCCTAGCCATTTTCAACTACGTAGTGGATTGAAGGAAGGTAAATCCTCACTCATACAGTTTTGCTTAGCCAAGTAAAGTCTGTTCATAGTGCAGCTCTAATTGCAATTGCATGGGTGGGTGTTGGGGCTGCAGGATAGGATTAAGAGACTGCTTGCCTTTTGTGAATAGATGGATAGACAGGGGCAAGAAATAGAAGAAGCCTTGGCTATGCCTAGATCAGAATAATTGGTTGATCTTGTGTGTTGGGAAGAATAAAATACTCCCCAAAATGATAGTCCTAAGTAGCTTCCCCAACTTCTGAACAACTTAAGAGAAATGGAGGGAGGGGAAGGTCTCATTGGGGCATAAAGTTTTACTGCAACTCTTTCTAGAGTAGCATAGCTATGTAGCTTAGTCTTAGTTGAGCAGAAGGAGCTCTGTCTAGCCTTTCTCCATGACTGAAATGTGTTTGTAATTTATGATCATAGATAAGCATTCTGAACCATGGTTTATTAGTCCCATTATTTTTAAGACTTTATCTTGTGAAATGTTTCATGACAAAAAGATGCACTAAATTCCCCAAAAAACCCATTTAAAATTACTTGCCTGAGCCCTTCAGGCAGATGTCAAAAGAAAAATACCTCATTAGAAATTCTATTATGTATCAACTTTTGGGCCATTAGGAAAAGGATCTCTTGAAAAATGCAGTGATCAAGAAATAAGGGTAGCAAATTGCAACAGATCACTGTGGGAAGAAGATATGAAAAAAAATTAGTGGGAGGGAGCATAGGGAAATTGTGGTTAATGGAAGGTTTATCTGTAAAACAAATAACATCATTTAAATATCTATTTCTTTTTGAAATTCTGAAGATGTCAACAAACTCCATTAGTTTTGTCTGTCTCATGGTACCAGAATGTCCTCTCTGGTACACTTTGGAGTTTACTGTTTCTAACTGTTTTTAGATGAACATTGAAACTAAGTTGTGTAAACTGAACATTATGCCTTCTGTATAAGAGAGGAAAGAATTTTGCAGTTAATTTGGAAGTTGCTGAAGCAACATAAAGGGGCTGTGGGGTGGGGCTAATAGGATCATTTTTTTATTTTTGAGGCTCCAGTTTTCCAAAAGTAACTAGCGGTTTTGCATGTCTAATTTTTGATGACTTAAAAGTGGTCAGTTTCCAGAAAATGTGAGTAACCACCTCTAAAAATCAATTCCTTTTAAGGTATCAAGTTCAGCTTCTAGAAATCACTACTCTTTTTTCAAAAATATATTCACCAGTGGCTTTGATCTTTGCCAACCTGTGATGCATAAGAACACACAGAAGGGGGAAAAACAATTGTAAAATCTGCTACACTAGGTCTGCTACGCTAAACACTAGGCCTGTTTGACTGAAGTTAATTCAAACTCATCTATTCTCAAGCAAATAATGCTATTTGTTTGGGGAAATGGCATGTCATTTACAATTTCAGCATAAGTGATGCTAAGATGAAGCAGTTTCTTTGGGGAAGCCCCAGGATCAGTGTTCTTTGTTGGATTCACATAAAATAAAGGGAAATTCTTTAAAGTGCTTGAAATTTAAGTGGAAAATGGGGAAGTAATTATTATGCCACAGTCAAGAGCAAAGAAAAGAAAATTGACTGTAGAAGTATATTGTGCACCTGCTACACTGGCTTCTTAATAGGTATGAATGAACTGAAATCGCCATTTCATGGTTTTCATGGAAAATGTTAAATTGGGCATTTTTCACAAAAATCAGAGAAATTCAGGAAAGGAAGAAGCCCCACAAAAAAGGGGGAAAAGCAGGACTCCGTGTAAAAATAAAAGATTTTTCTTCTGTCATCACCATGGAAATTCCAGGTAATTCCTTAAAAGAAAGTCCTTAAAAGAAAGGTGGTAGAATAGTATTCTCTCATGAAACAGAATTTGAAGCTTTTTACAAAACAACTGCTTAGAAAAACAAGGATTTTGTCTTAAGTGTCAGAATTGTTAAGAATGACAGCCAGTATGGATGCAATTCTGAGAAGCGTATATGAATGTGATCAGCATACAGAAGTTTATATAAACACAGTAGTCACATAGCTGATAAACCAAACAATATGTTACTAAGACAGTTTTAAAACTAGGTATTGGTTAAAAAAAAA